TGCTGCACCCTCTGGATGCTGCCCATGTCACACTAATGGGATTTTTTCCCAAACAAACTGTTTGCAGAAGCTGAACTCTTTGGGGCTAGTGCATAGGAGTATTTCTGACTGTTGTAAATGAACTCTGTTGCACATCAGGGCAACTAGCATGAATGTTGGTGCCAGTTCTCATAATCATTAGAGTATAACATATTTTCCTGGTTTGGAAGTGGGGGAAGAGGGAGGAAAACATGGGGAGGGGGAGGAAGGTGTTTGGGCTTTGTTCACTTTTTTCTGAAGTGTGAAACAGCTTGATAGTCCAAGGTACTCATATCTTACATTTGTAAAGTGTTGCCTACTTATGATCATACTGCAAATATGGTGTGCGGATTTGGTTTTATACAAAGGGTGTATCCTGTTATCCTTCTGCTCTGGATAACTGCTGCTAGGAATGAAACTTGCAGTTTGGTTTGAATATCCCATTGGGGTGAGATTAGGTGCTGTTACACTTTTTTTTTTTTTTTAATTAACATAGTGACAGCAAAAAATTCTGGTCATCAAATTGTGTAAATTAGGAGTAAAACTGGCCTTATTTTTAGACAATCTGTTGTCAGCTGGATTTTATGCTAAGTGACTGACTGGAGAGTGCCTCTGGGAATGTAGTGTCCCTGCATAATCTGCCACTCGTTAACTAAGGAATTTCTCAATGACTACAGAGTATGGATTTGTAAATATGTTTTGAGGGTTTTTTCCCGTTACATGATGTTTGCTGTTGTCATAAGTGACAAATTTATGTTATGTATCATGTTTTCCTGAGCCCTGGATGGATTTTTGTAACTGAATAAAGAATAAAAGGGAGGAAAAAAAAAAGGAGGCTGGCAGAACAGCAGATGACTAGAAAATTTATATTTAAAAAACTATCTGTTTGCTTTATCATTTTTATTTTGTTTCTGTTGTCATTAATAAACAATTTAACTGCCTCTTGTTCTCAAGTGCTATATGGGACTGTTTTTGCCAAGATTTGAGCAGTAATTTTTTGACCAGCACTGGTGTAGTCAGTTCTTTCTTTTGACGGACAGAATTTGTAGGTTTTATAAGATAGACTGGTATATTGTGGTTCCAGCTCAAATTTTCCATTATTGACTCATTTTCAGATTTGTCTTTTTTTTTGCAAGTCCAGGTATTGGATTCTTCATGTGCTCAGCTTTCCCTGGTGCATTTTCCACAGTGGCACAAGGTAGAAAAACAAATATTGAGTCTGATCCCTACAACAGTTGTTAGGTGAAACATCTGCAGACACAAAACCAGATTGTGTTGTCCCTGACAGGTGTCAGAACTGCACTGAGTTGCTGGAGTGCTTCCAAAACACGAGGATTTGTGAGCATCACCACACTATTACTTGTGAAGGATAAGAAACTTCCACAAAAGTTTTGTCAAGCATCAGTACAAGAAGATTTTAGTGGAACTAAGAACTTACTGCAGGGCTGTCAGTGCTGTGTGTTTCCAAGGACAGATAACCCTCATGGCTGGAGGCTGTTCTTGGGAAGTTTCCTCCAAGGATCTCTGTGTTCTAGTGCAGTGGAATCAGCTCAAGGGCATGGGACTCTACACAACAAACATTGGCAACTCTTGGCAATTTCACTCATTTTTAGGGAGTGGTTCTGAGCTGAATTCTTGCTTTCTGTGGGAGAAGTCAAGATCCAGGGCAGTGCTGTGCTTTCAGCCCCTGAGTGCTGCAGGGCCGGGGTTTGGGGCCTCAGCTCTGGGAACAGCTGAGGTGGCAGGGGGGTCTGGAGTGAGGAGGGAACCAGGCAGGGAATTGAGGGATTGCTGCTCCTGCCCTGGGCACAAACGTGTTTGTAGCAGGCCAAAGGGAGTTTCTTTGCTTCAGGCAGCTATTTCAGCACAGGGTGTGTTGCTGGGGCTGCCAGCAGCGCTGCAACTCCTCATGATGTGCATTTGAAAATGGGGCTGAAGCCAGTGGCTCTCCTCACCCCTCCCAAGAGGTGTGAATCACAGAATCATGGAATCAATGTGAAATGAAAAGCAAAGGAGCTGGCGATGTTTGGCAGCACTGCTGGACTGGGGGAACGTTCACTGAGCAGCAGGAGAGAACTGAGTGGAGCTCCTGCTGCCACAGACAGCACCTCACTGCTCTGGGTGAGCACAGGTGTGGGCCAGGCAGGTGTCACTTCGGTGCATCCAGATGCCCAACACTTCCTGAAATCACTGGAATACTGAAGCTCTGCCATCTTCTGTCTCAGATCTGACTTTCATGCTTGATTAGGGCTTCACCTGGACAGGTAAAACCAGCCTCGTTCAACCTGTGGACTCAGCTTGTAGTGAAACCTTGGCACATCCAACACAAACATGTACCTGGTTTGGACCTTTTTCTGTCTCTATGCTGACAATCTCTTTATAACTTCTCTGTAGGATTCCTTCAACATTTTTGTGGGATTTTGCTGGCTAAATAGTTTCATGGAGGGTACCTTTGGCCACAATTTCTTTGCTATGACTGCATTACAGAGAGAAAAACAAGTGGTGTTCCAGCCAGTAGAATTTAAAAAAACCCAACTGAAAGTTGCTGTGCAAGTTATTCCAGTGTTCTCATGCTGGTTTTATTTTTTTTCTGTCGTTTAATTTCTCAAAATTTATGCAAAGAATTTAAAATTCAGGCCAAGTTTGAAATACCATTTATCTGTGATGATACAGATAAATGTGTGCTCTGTTGGAGGGACTGTTGCCAGATTTTGGGAAAGGAAAACAGGTAAATGTTTAGCTGTGGCTGAAGTTCTTTGTTCCCAGTTCCTCACTAAGTGAATTAATATGAGATTTTTTTCTATTATATGAAGGGATTCTCATTTAATAAGGTGCATCCAATAATCCACAAGCATCTTAGTCTTACATCCCTTTGCTTTTACTTATGACTTAAGCAGAGGCAAAATCTTTTAGTCAGAAGGTCATATGCTTAGCTGACTGATAATCAACACACCAAGAGAATCTGATCTAAGTTCTGAATGATTTAGGGTTTGCTTTAGGTTTAGTAAATAAATTGGCAGTTTAGGTGGGGTAACAAAAGTAAATTTAAGAATCCTTTTTAAATGTAACTGGTAGTTTTACAGGTATTTCATATTGTGCTCAAGTCAGCACTGAACTTTTTTTTTTCTTTTTAGATAGCATGGATCTAAGTGTTAGTAAAATACTTCTGGGGTCCTCATTTCTATTGCTGTTCAATGTTTTCCTGGATTGTGAATGTTTGAATCTATATTCAGGTACCTCTGGAGGAACTTGCCGCTTTCCACTCCTGGTTTTTCCTTTGTGTGTTCTAAAACTCTTCACAGTGTTCATTCATCTATTAATTCATGCCATGAGGTATTTGGGGAGACCTTAGAGCACCTTCCAGTACCTAAAGAGCCTCCATGAAAGCTGGAGAGGGACCCTGGACAAAGACGTGGAGTGACAGGGCAAAGGGGAACGGGTTTTAAGCTACAGATGATGGGTTTAAATGGGGTATTGGGAAGAAATTATTTAATCAGACACAGTTGCCCAGATAAACTGTGGCTGCCCCATGCCCGGAAGTGCCCAAGGCCAGGGTGGATGGAGCGATGGCCGCATGAGGCGAGAGGGAAGGCGGCACACGCGTTCCTGGCAGCCGTCCCGGCATGAGGGAGCGGAGAGCGCCTGCAGCTCCCGCCACCCGGCCCGAAGGAGAGGGAGAAGGAGAGGGAGAGGGAGAGGGAGAGGAGAGGGAGAGGGAGAAGGAGAAGGAGAGGAGAAGAGAGCGCCTGCAGCTCCCGCCGCCTGGCCCGAAGGAGCGCTTACCCCGCCTGCGGTTCCGTCAGCGGCTCCGGACGCTGCTCCGCCCCGCCCCGGAGGCGGTACCGCCGGGACGAGCAGCACCGACAAAGGCAACATCGCCTCCCGCTCCCGCACACGCCCGGATTTGCTTGGGGACGGTGAGCGGGACAAACCCGGAGCGGCGGCAGCGCCGGGAGCTCGGCGAGGCCAAGCGGCGGCGGCGGGGGGAACGCGCGGGTCGGCGCTCTGAGGGAGCGAAGGGGGAGAAAGGCGGCTTTCCCCGGGAGCTGCGAGGAGCGGGGGGCAGCGTTCGGCTTGAATCGTGCGCTTGGCCCGGGGCAGGTGCGCTGTGGCCGCGGCCGTGCCCTGCCTGAGTCACGGCGGCCGCACCGCAGTGCGCTGCGCGGGGCCGAGCGACCGAGCGGCCGCGCACGGCCTGGAGCGCGGCCAGGAGGCACCGGCAGCTGCCCCGCAGGGATGCGGCTCGGGGCCCCCTTCCCCCTGTCCTTTCCCCTGTCCCCCGTGCTGTCATTCGCGATGACAGCTGCAGCAGGTCTTGTCCGCCTGCCTCCTCCCAGGTGGGACTGCGGAGAAATTCTGTTTCACAACCGGGCACTGAACCTTCCGTGCTGTAGCAGTTGCTGTTTCTTGTCATTGAGGTGGATCGGATGCTTGACTTATAAGACTAATTTAGAAAATATAGTTTAGGAGATGGTTTCCTCCTTTCATTTTTTTAAGCCATGTTGTGAATTGCTATTTATATACGTAGTAGTTGCTTTTGGAAGGTCGGAATTTCCTGATGCCTTACACAGAAACAATGACTTTTTTTCCTAGACTGAATTACATTGACGTGGCACTGGTCTGGCTCTGATGATTTCTATTCATCTGCCTAACATTTATGCTGGTCATGGCTTCGTGTTACTAAAAGGCAAAGCTGTTTTTGTCTGCTGACGCATGGGTGACTGAGGAATCCTGGAAGATGGAGAGATTCCCGGAATAGTTCTGTTTGCTGTCCAGAAGGGCTCTTGCTGTAACCACCAGACTTAACAGCGCTCCTGTAGATCCACATCACTGTGGGACGAGCCTCTGGCCTTTGAAAGGCTTCTTGCAAAGTTGTTTACCCCAGAAAATAAGCTCACCTTGCACATTATATTTCTATTTTTAATAGTTTCTCCTCTGCTCAACAGTAAGTCATACAAAGAGGAGAAAAAGGAGAGCAGGTTGATTTTTTTTTTTAGTCATTGGATGGGGTTTCTTAAGGTTCTTTTGGATAGGTTTGGGGTTTTTTGTCAGTAGAAAAATTAACTAGACTTAAGGTTGAGAAGCATTTAAATACTTTTTGCTGTGAACCCATCTTTTCAAGTCCACAGTCACTGGGAGGGAAAAGCTCCATCCTAACATGGTTACTATCTGCCATGCTAAAATCTTAGAGTTGCAGGCAGAATTAAGAGCAGTGACTGTTTCACTATGGTTTTGTCAGATGTAAAACTTATTATCTGAATACCTTTAATATTTTGGAGTTTTGAATGCCACTTGGGCTTTAAAAACAAACACAAATCCCTTCTCTCCCTGCTCTGCTTGATGCCTGCTTGGAATAGCAGAGGTTTTTTAGTAGGAGCTGTGATTGTAGTTCAGAGTCTGTGTGCAGAAATCTTTCTGAGAACTCCTGCTTTGGAGCTGCCTATGTTTAAAAAATTCCTGACCTTCCCATCTCACTGCTGCCTACGGATTGCAGCAGCCATGGAGACCTGAGCCACTGCTGCAGGCACTTGGTGAGTTATTGCCTGTGTCAGTCCCTCAGTGAGAGGGACACATTTTGGGAGAGGAGAGGCAAAAGCTCCTGTAGAGCAGCCAAACCTCTTGCAACTTCATGAGAGAGGAGAAAGGAGAGCAGTCTGGCTCCAGGGTTACTGGGGAATTGCTGAAAGAGAAAAAGCATTTGAGACCTTTCTTTTTGTTAGGTGCATTTGTAGCTGTGAGAAATTGGGAGGCCTGTTGAATGATGTAATCAGAGAGGAGACCCATCTGAGCCTGTCAGGGCTCAAATATCAGTTTTGAGAATAAAAATCCTCCCTTGGAAAGTGCAGTTATTTTTCTCTCTTGTGTTTCCCTGTTTTTCCTGGCCAGTGCTTTCAGTTTTATACTGAAAAAAGTCTTGAAACCTCGGTTCATCACCAGGGACTTTGCTTTTAAATAGCATAAACTTGTAATGCCTCTTTGTGCCCTCAAATTAGGGAAGAAGCATGACCAAGATGAACTGCATCCTGCTGACCACCTGCATTGTTTTGATTGCTTTTTGTGGTTCTGGTGAGTAGAAGAAAGGGACTTTGTGGTTTAATGTTATGACAGAGGCTGAGAAAATCATGGCAAAAAATGTCAGAGGGAGGAAAAACAGTGAGAAAGGCCTGGATTATTTAATACCACTGTGGGGAATGGCAGTAACCATCGAAGCAGGGCTGTTTCTGTTCTGGTTGTCTTGGGTCAGGAGAGATAATCAGGGACAGGATATGGTGCTGCTTAACACAACCTGGAATTTTTCAGAAAACTGGAATTTTTCTGCTAGAAAATGGGATTCTTCTTGTGTGAATTGGAAACCAGTATGAGAGGGAAAGGAGACTGAGTTTAAAAAATAGATAGAAGAAAACTCAGTTGCAAGTATCTGTTATCTGGAACCTGGAAAAGGCAGTCTTCAAGAGCAGATAAAAAGAGCAAGCATTTAATATCTTGTTCTGCAGGCAGATAATGGTAAGTGTTTTTAAAAGTGACATAAATACATGCTTCAAGATGTGCCTGTCAAAATTGTCAGCCTCAACTGGTGCACTGACATAAGCTTGTCAGTTTTAACTGAAGTCTTGAGTTTAACAGTTTTAGCTGAAGTCTTGAGCTTAATAATCGGGCATATGTTTTGTGACAGTTAGATGCAGATAAATTATTGTTTGGGTTTTTTTTTGTTTTTTTTTTTTTTTTTTTTTTTTTTTTTTTTTTAAATGCTGCTGCTGCTGTCTCAGTAGTTTATTATTCAGTGAAGATAAACCCTTGTTGTCTTAGGTTATACCTTAAGATGTTACCACTGTGACAACAGCCCGACCCTGTGCAGGACCAACAGCACCTGCTTAATGAATGAAGACACTTGCTTGCAGTTGAAATTTGGTATGTACAGTGTCCCACAGAACTAAAATAAACCCACTTGGATCAGCTTTCATTGCCTGGACGCCTCTAATCTGGCCCTAGCATTCATTTCTCAGCCTCACTCAAAAGGAGCTTGCAAATACTCTTGAAGGTCATGCTTATATCCAAGCAATAATGTAATGATTTAGATTTGTAGCTGTACAAGCATGTACATAGATCGTTGTATATCCAGATTTAAGAAATAAACAAACAAGCAAAACCCACACAAGGGAGTTAGGGAAGAAAAAAAAGACAGCATAGAATTTAAAATACAATTTATTACTCTTTGAAAACAGATAAAAGATGTGTAGCCCACAAAATAAAGCTGCAGATTAATGGTTCAGTCATTTATGAATTGACACTATTAAAACAAATTATCTTTTTTGAGGGTGAAGTGATTTGTGTCTCAGGAAGGACATTTTAACTAGATCGGGTTCCTCAGGGTATGGCCTTGAATGTTTCCAGGGATGGGACATCCACCACCCCTCTGAACAATCTGTGCCAGTGTTTTACCACCCCTGTCTGCTCTTCCTGCTCTGTCTTCTGCACATTCTTCACTGAGAGCCCTGCCAAGTGCTGGCCCAGGCTGCTCAGGGCAGTGCTGGAGTCCCCATCCCTGGAGGGATTTAAAGATGCCATGTGCATGTGGCACCTGGGGACATGGGTTAGTGGAGGGCTTGGCAATGCTGAGTTAAAGATTGGACTTGATCTCAGAGGTCTTGTTCAGCCTAAATGATTCTGTGAATGCAGACTGAGCTGGCTGGTGTTGCCAGGTATTGTTACCGTATGGACTAGAAATCCTGAATATTAGAATATAAAGTGTATAAACCGTAATAGTAGTAGTAATGCTAAGGCTTGGAGACTGCAGTTCCCAGAGTAGGCCCTGGGAAACTAACTTACGAATGTGCTGTGCTGAGAAAACAATGTTCAAAAGATTTAGCAGAGCATGCAGAACTGTTAGTGATAAGGTTAAAGTATAATCATAAATAAAGTACTGGTGGTGGGCAGTGGCGTAAGAGAGAGATTAAGGGGGAGAACACTATAGTCCTAGGATAAGCAACCATGTAAGATTCATGACGTAAAATGCTATCTACAAGGTGAATGTATCTATATTATTTAGAAGAATGTGTACTTCTGCACATAAACCATTTGTAAAAAGGGTATAAAAAACCCTCTAAAAAGGGAACCGGTGGGATCCTGACTTTGGACGCGAGTCCGCAAGTCCACGGGCCCCGAATAAAGCACCGTGTAAACTGACACTCTGTTAGTTTGTGTTTTACTTGGGCTTTCGGGCAGCAGTATCACTCAAGCTCCACCCTGTATTTCCCAGTGGGTGGATTGGATACACACTGCTAAATTCCTAGTGAAAGCAAATTTGGAAACTTCTAAACACTTAAACTTAGAAAAGCAAGTACATGGCTGTGGCAAAAACAAAACTCTAGGGCTGATGCTGGGGGCACAAATAGCCCATGAACTACAGGACACAAGACTTTACCAGAAGTGTCCTGTCCGGGCAGGACAAGAGGCCAAGCCCAGTGATCTGTCCCTGAAATTTCATGTCAAATTCTCATTCCCAGTTTGCTACGAAATTGGGGGTACATTTTATACCTTATTAGCCACTTCAGTGCAGAGTGCTGTGGGTGGGACTGTGGTCAGACCTTCCACTCTTTGTACAGAATATTTCTTGGTAGGGTGTTTGTGCTGGGTTTGTGCGATACCTTTGTGGTTGTGGGGTTAAAGAACCAGACCGTCCAGTTTCTGCCTCCCTCCAGTACCCCCCAATGCCATGGCAACACTAACCACAAGGCCTCCACCCAATTTCTGTGTTTACACCATGGGGCCTATCACAGATTGAGCTTTGCCTTCTCCTTAATGTTTTATTCTCTAACAGTGGCAGTCTAAGCACTGCTTCTCTCTCCATACCAAAAACGGTGTTAACTGTCAATACTCTCTTAATCTGTTTAATTTTTTTTTTTGTTCCATAGGTAAATTGAGAACTTTTTCCTGCTGGAAGACATCCCAGTGCAGTGTGAATGAAATTGCTGATGCTTTCCAGTTGGATAATTTTGAATTCTTCTGCTGCCAACAAGACCTGTGCAATGAGAGTACAATTACTGGGGTTAACAAAGCAGCCTTCAGTATTGCTTCTGTAATGGCCATGTTATGGATGCTCATGTAATAATCCTGATTTGTTTGCTATCCTTTCAAGATAAAATTACATAAAACCATTTATCTCTTTTCTATATTGCATATTTTCACCTCCTGTCCATAGGCAGAAACATTCCCTTGTTATTTTGTTTCCCAAGGTTCTCTGTTAAATCACTGTCTCCATTCATGGGAAGGACATGTGTGTTATTACCAGTTACTGGGTGTTTTGATCTGTCCCCCTGTTCATAGGGAACAGCTCTTGTGAAATGTTATTTTGTGGAGAACCTGGACAAACTCCCGTGGGTAATGTCAGGGAGAAGGAACATTACAGCTTTTCTGCTGGAAACTGTCATTTTTCCCCTGTCCTATAAACTGTCATTATTTTTGGTTGGCGTTTCTGTGGGTTTTGATTTGTTTGGCTTTGGATCTTCCTTGTCACAAACCAAGCAGTGGATTTGTTCTCAACACAAGAAGTGTTAGATCATAAGTGTACCTTGCTGCAGTCTTTGTGATGAATATGGAAATATTCAGTTTCAAGTCATGTAAACACTTTGTTCCCATCACTGTACCTTTTTTTTTTCCTACAGGCCAATGATATAACCTTGTCAAGTGCTGTTATTTTGGGAGAAAACATCTACATTTCTTAAACCAAAATACTGCTATAAGCGAGAAACACCTTTTTTTAAAAAAAAATATATATATATTTCTGTGAGCATGTAGACAACATGTGATAGCTTTTCTTTTGATTTCCCTCATACATTATCCATGTTTAAGATTTTAATTGAGCATGTGCTTTGCACTGAGTATTTATTGGTATACTGAAAATCGATTATAAAATGCTAAGGAATTGAAAAGAAATGGCACATGTTGATTACTTCCCCTAATTAACCTAGTTAGTTTTTGGGTTTTGTTGAAAACAGCAACGTGTAAACTTAACCCTTCAAGCTTCCATCTAAGAGTATTAAAATCTTGCAGAACTTTCTTTCCATAAATGCCAATGCACAGTATAGGTGTGTATTTATATAGCATGAATAAAACCTGCTCCATCTGTAGGTGTGAGAGGTCAAATACTGAAATACTTACATTGCTCTGCTCCGTGGTGGAGACAGACCTTGGGGACATCTTTGGTACCTGGGGACATCTTTGGTACCTGGGGACCCTCTCAGTCAGGTGGGATGCCTGATCCTCCTTTTTCTCCTTCTGGAGCTGTTGGTAGATCCCTGCCAGAGTTGTGTCCATTGCCAATGGGATATCCTCTTGCTGAGGATTGTGCTCTTGACATCAGTGACACCAGTCAGTGGCACCAGTGACACCAGTTCACCAGTCACAACAATCCCCAATGTATTCCACAATGTACCTTTTGGTTGAGCTTATTATAGCTATGAAAGTGTCCTGGGATCTCTCCCATCACTCGAAATATGGAAGTCATCCTGTCTTTGATTAATAAAAATGTCAAAAAAGAAGAGTGTGGAGTGTGTGGTGATTTATTGGTACTTACAGCTGGATGGAACTCCAGTTGTTTCCATGGGAGGTGCATCCATGCTTCCCATCCAGAGACTCAGCAAGTTCCATATAGACTTCTTCCTTATTTTTATATCCCACCTGATTAAAAGCAGATACTGGAATACAGCAATTTCTGCACAATGACTTTTTCCATTGCTGTAGCACCATTTGTCAAACTCAGGCTCATTTCAGGTGAAAAAGTATTAAAGCAATCAATATAAATTGGGGGAAGGTTTGTAGCAGGGGCATCTTTTGTTGGACAAGGTGATAGATTCCTTATGCTTCCATCATCTTGATGGCAGCATTTTTTTCCTCTGTTGTATTGTCAATGTCTTTTTTAATGGTGGTACTTTTAAACTTGTTTCTTTGCTGTATGGCCTGCATATATAAAATATTCTCATTTTTTTGATAAATGCAAAAAGAAGCTCTATATTTTGTCTGCTCTTCAAGCAATTATTTTTACTATTTCTTTTTTGATAGCCATGAACACTTTGTCTAATTATCGTACTTTTTTGTTTCTCTTCTAAAAGCAGCCTAAGCAATGAGTCCTTGTGTTTTAAATGTGTTACTTTCTTTTTGTAAAGATTAACCAGAACTTCCTGTGAGGTTTGCATTTTCTGAGTATGGCTGTGCTGACTGCTGAGCCCTCTCCTGCAGTTTGTTGAACAGTGTCTGCTCCTTGAACTTTGGCATTGCTCCCCCTGCTGCTGCTCTCTTATGCCCAGATTTGCTACCCAGTCCACAAAGGGGACCATTAAAACCAAGAGAGATAATAAAACTTTAGTTCAAATATTAAAATTTGTTCAACTCCGAGTCCACCAGGACTCCCAAGTCCTCTGCAAAGCTGTTTTCCCCATGGTCAGCCCCCAGCTTGTGCTGGTGCTTGGGGTGATTCCCAGCCTTTGGGGTGGGTGTCACAAAGTGGTGCCTGAACCCCAGGGACTCCTAATTTTGGGCTTCCCTCCATGGGAATATCAGCCAGATACTTTGTGTGGTTCAACTGTGTCCTCTAAGACCCAGGATAATGCCAGATAAACTCAGGATGAGTGGCTGTGCCACTGTGCAGAGGTGTCTGCAATGAGTGCTGAGTAAGTTGTCACTGTTGCTGGGACTGCTTTGGTTTTATTTTGAAATTACCTGAGTGATTTCCTGTTCTGAATTTGTGGCATGACTAAAACCTCATCCTTTGAGTGTGGTTTTTATGCCATTACACATCATTTATGTACTAATGGTTATCTGATCACCCAAGAATATTCTTCCCTACATCTACTTCTCAGTTGCTCTCATAACCAGCAGTCTCTTCTGGGGGGGATGGACACACAGGTTATATAGGAACAAGAAGAAAGTAGCAAATGAAAGTTTCAGTACCAGCAGGAATTCATTCTTGTGATCTATTTTTACCATGAATTCCTCCTTCAAGTCTTCATGGTGGTGACCAGGTGGCCTTTGACTTGAACTTGGGCATGGAGAGAGCTTGGAAGCCTCCTGGCATTGGTAGGAATGTGGGGCTGATACACCTGATTGAGAAGAATTTGGCTTTATCCTGTGTGAAATCCTTCTCTAGTTTTACCATCCCTCATCAATGATGAGGTGAGATGTCTCTGTGTTATTTCAGGATGCAGAAAATTGTGAAAAGAAGCAGATGCATGGGGAAAAGCAGACAGGCAGAGCAAGCAATTTCCTCCCACAAGCAATTTCCTCCCTCCTTTTGGTTTGAGAGGAAGGAGAGACTGAGCAGTGAGCACCTTTATTTTGTAAAAAGGAGTTGCTAAGATAACAGAAGTCCCTGCAGAGAGCTGCACATTTACTACCTCACTGTTGCTCTAACTGGGGCATCTGGATATTGCTGTAATATAAATATTAAATGCATTTAACAAGAGCGGTGTTCCTCCAGCTGAAAGAGAGTTTAATGTGCCTGAACCTCTTTGTGTCTCCAAGGGCCTGGATCTCACTGATAAATACAGCTGGTCCTAAGGTGGCATCACAGCAGGGGGGTTAGGCTATGCCTAAACAGCCAAGAAAGCGTTGTCTGTGAGATCCCCGTGTTTATTGAGGCAGAAACAAGCACACTGCACTTTCTGACTCCACACAAGGTGAACATTGCACTAGCAGCACAGGGCTAACACCCTGCATTTGAGAGAGGGAGAAGAGAGGCACTGATTGGCTGTGAGATCCCCAAAAGAAGTGCATTGTCACCTCCACTCCCGTCTTTCCAAGAATAATTTATACATTGGGATAAAATGAAGACCTGCAGATGATATTATTTTTATGGGTATGACAACTTACAGCATAGGGAAAACTGTCCTAGAGCCTAGGAAAGGGCAAGTTAAAAATACTTTTGGTTTCTTCCTCCTAAGTGGAATGAATTTTAAAAAAAGGGTTTGGTGCAAAGTTCCCCTCCCAAATAACGAAATCTCTGCATGTGATCCAGTGTTGGTTCTATTTAAGGGATAAGCAGTCTGGAATTGATTTGGATGCCTCTGAACCCATACCCCAGCACCTTGTGAGTCCAGCTGAGTTATTCATGGCACACTAGTGCTGTTCAGGAATGGCAGCTTCACCATTCCTCAGTGCACAGGGTTGGTATGGTGCTTGATACAATTCAAACCAGCCCCTTGCACCATTTTGGTAGATAGGGATGAGAGTGAAGCACCTGCACTCCTGTTCTCTCCTCTCTCACAGGTATTCAGAGATGCTGCTGTGAGGCAGGTTTGGAGAAAAGGTATGGAGACACTGCAGGATGGGGAAAAAATCACAAAGGTTACAGGCTGAGAGCATGAATGTTGTGGTCAGATTCACTATGGAATTTGTTTTGGAGACTGCTGAAAACCACAGAAACCTTCTTCTCCAAAGGATTCTCCAAGGAGCACTCTGTGCCACGTGCAAGCCTGACGTTCTGGAGTTCATTGCATGCTCAGGCTCCTATTTTCAGAGATGCTACAGTCTGCCAGGGAACTTCAGGCATCCATCATCATCAGCTGTCATGTTCCTAAGTGGTCAGGGCTTGGGAGAGAACATGCACGGTGTCATCATTTAGCTTACATCCAAAATGAAGGACAATAAGAGTGTTGCACCAGGAAAAGATTAAAGTGATTAATCTTTGAAATTGAATGACTTTCAAAGTCTGATGGCTTTCTTCTTTCCTACTCCTAGTCATGGTAATGCTGTAGGATCCTGTGAATTGAGGTTTATTCCCTGTTCTCTGGGATGAAGTGATGCTTGTCTGGGCAATAGTGGGACTGTAGCCCAGCCCCCAGTGCCAGCTATGTCTAGAAAGCTGCAGTCTGCACACAGATAAATGGACTATCGAAAAGATTACAAAATGCAAAATAAAAATGCTGCTGCTGTCAGCAAGGCACAGCTTCCTTTTTGCTTATTTTACCCTACAGCAAGCTGGAGGTGCTTTTTTTTTATTTTGTGCCTAGAAAAAGGATTTTCAATCCATTCCTCTCCCCGAAAGTGAGATCAATAGAACAATTGTTACGAAAATTCCCTTTCCTAGTAATACAGCAGCCAGTTTTTCTAGTATGAAAGCGTTTTAACTTTATCTATGAATATACCTCAGTTACATTATGCACTGCAATGCACTGAGGTGGTGGAATTTTACTGGAGACTTTGGCACTGCTCATGTGTAAATATAAGAAACTGAAGGAGAGTCTAACCTGGAATGACGGCCTTTGCCTTGAGGTAATGCTTTTAAATTGAAGGAAGGTGAGTTTAGAGTAGATATTAGGAAGAAATTCTCTCCTGTGAGGGCGGTGGTGAGGCACTGGCACAGGTGAGTTAATAAATACGTGGTGATGTGTAGGGAGATGTATGTCTGGCTTATAGGTCCTGTGATACTTGATAAAAGATTCGTGTTAATCACAAAAGCATTGGGGTTTGTATAAACCAAAATACTAAGCTCTGCGGTGAAGCATGGACACCAGATAATGGAAATTACATGATAAAATATTTCTGTTTAAAATCACCTTGTTATGTTATATTATGTTGTATTATGTTACATTATAATATGTTATGTTTTCCAAATAAGTTGTATCAGCTACCAGTTTGCAAAATCAGACTTCCCATAAAGCCCTTCCTGCCTTTGTCTGATCAATGCTGCTTATCTCAAGGACCAGACTTTCAGAACTTCTCAGGGGCTTATCTACAAGGACCGGATGGCTATCTGTGACTAATTATCACCCAAAGGCTTTGTGTAAGGATGTTTATTCAACCACCACTGCTTATGACAACAAAAATAAAAAAAAATGTTGACTACAATAAGAACCCACAGTATAAGAAGAGGCTGCAAACCAAGGTTCGGTGGAGCGTGGAGTGGGCGGTGACCCCTCACATTCCCCAGCGCGCTGCTTGCTCTTTCTATATCAAATAAAGCAATCTAAATTTTGCTGAATATCGAGACTTTTGTCTCTCATTTATAACAGTCCCTGCTGCCTCACAGAAAAATGGGAAAAAAGTTTGGGAAATCCCAGGAGATGAACCGGCCTCGGGGCCGGAGCGCCGTGCGGGAGTGGCGGTCCTCCGCGCCGGCAGGGGGCGCTGCGGCGCTCGGAGCCGCTCCCGGCGGGCGCGGCCGAGGCTGCGGGGCCGCAGAGGCGGCGGCGGCGGCGACGGGGCCGCGTCGGGGCTGAGGGGGCTCGGCGGGCTCGGGGGCCGCGGCCGCCCCTCCGCCGCCCCGCAGGTGAGTGCGGATATCGCGGCCACGGCAGAACCTTTCCCGTCCGCCGGCAGGCCCGCCCGGTGCGAGCCCGCCCCGCAGAGCCCCTAAGGGAGGGAGGGAGGGAGGTGGGGGGGTTGTGCATTCCCATTGCCAGGCGCCGATGGAGCCGGGTAGGAAGGGTTGGAAATATGGGAAAGGCTGGGAATGACTCACTGGAGTTCTGTATGCCCCACATGCACCTGCGCTGCTCTCATCTGCTGGTTCTCCACTGGGTCACTCAACAAAATCAGTCTATAT